CCTTCTTTCTGTTTCCCCAATTCTCCTCTCTCCTTGTCCTGCCTATACTTCCTGTCTGGTCACTGGCCATCAGTGTTTTATTTATATAGAGCGATATCCACAGCATATCACCATATCAGGGAAAGCTACATACATCCATTTGCAGGAGAATTGGATGCAGTATTTAAGTAAGAGGCTGAATCAAGACCAAGTATAGTGGGATTTTTTGTTTGTTTGTTTGTTTGTTTTGTTTTTCGAGACAGGTTTTTTCTGTGTAGTTTTGGTGCCTTTCCTGGATTTTGCTCTGTAGACCAGGCTGGCCTTGAACTCACAGAGATCCACCTGCCTCTGCCCCCTACCCCAGTGCTGGGATTAAAGGCGTGCGCCACCATCTGGCTTGTCCGGCTTGCCCGGCTTGAGTAATTTTCTTTAAAAAATTCATCCAAGGAAATAACTTGACACAGTGTTTTGCAGAGGTAAAGTTTTTAACGTTCATAAGAAACATCACTGAAGTAGAATATAATTTGGAGTTGATGCTAAGTCAGTCTTCCAAGACTATTCTAATCTTATCAGACTTGTTTTAGGTGTGTAGTAATGAACAGAGAAGTCACATAGACAGAGCCCGAAGTTCTTACATGTTACCTGTTGTGGTTTTCAGTTGGCTTCCATTTTTATATTTTGTTTGTTACTCTATAAAGTGTGCCTTGTGGTGGTTGGGATTCCTTTCTTTTAAAAAATACTTTATTCCAGTTGATTTAGTTTTATAGATTTGAATTTGTTTCAAAGAAATTCTGAGTTCTGTTGAATGCCATGAAAATATTTGTTACAATAAACAAAATTCTTGGGACTTAGAAAAAGAAAGTTAAATACATTTTTAGTCCCAAAGGGAAGAACCAAAGCATAAAAACAGCCATGCTCAATCGAAGCCCAGCAGTACATCCCCGGATCTTGTAGCTCATTGTCTGGCTTCTGGGGCTCACTTACGATCGTCTGGGCTCTGCCGTCCGTAACAGCTTGTCTTGTAGGTGAGGCCAGCCCCACTCTGCTGCTGTCCTGGGTGCTCACCTCATGGTCCTGGCATCTCCAGTATTCTGGAGTCCCCACTCAAGTTGAGGCCGTATCCACCAGTGGCCTCTCCTGGCTTCTGACATTGCCACACCTCAGCTTGCCTTCATGGCCTCTTCCGCCCTGGGGTTTCCATCGCCACAGAGGCTGCACCTTCATCAGTGGCCTCTCATGGATCTCACAGTGCCGAGCCTCAGCTCTTCGTGATCCCTTCATGATCCCTTCACGCCAGTGCTTGTGAAAGGCTTACACACTGTTTCCCAAGCTCTGCTGCCGGCCCCACATGCAGCCTCCGGCCCCCGCTGGCCACAGCTTCTATGTGTTGATCCTGAGCAAGATTTTATTTCAGCTACTGCTCTCTTGTTAATCACAGGCAAGCCAATTATCATTGATTGTCCTGGTGAAGCAAAGTTTTACTCCCACAGATTGTTTTTTATTAAAGTCTGTCATATGAACGGCTCTCATACCTCTGTGCTTCTCTCTTTGAAGGCCAGGCCTGTGTTGTCTGCTCTGGGGGGCTCTTGATATGTAATGAGGGGATCCAATGTTTGCAAAGCTGAGGTGTCCTAAACTCTGCTTTCTCTTTGGCAAGGAGGGACAGATGATTATCTCATTGCCTGAGAGCTGTCTGCTCACCACGGACACCGTGATTCGAAGCTCCTTAGGGCCCTACATTAAGAAGTAAGTGACCATACCTGCACACAGCTGCCAGTGCTGTGCCTTGAAAGTGTCTGCCATTGGCAGATGTGCCATGGCTGACAGGGCGTGAGGACCCAGCTCTTGTCTGGCCAAGAAACACTGGGTGCTGTTTGAAAGGTTTATCCTCTTCTAGGTTTGTTCTGAATTCACTGTGAACTGTATTTCTAAGGTCTTCAGAAGGCTGCCTGGGATGTGGGTGTGAACCCTGTTCCTTAGGAAGTAAGCGTGAGATGGGATGGTGCACATGGTGAAAGTCTTACAGATGCTACTTCCCTGTCTTGGTTCACTCTATTGTACCTGCTTGACTTCTTCAGCTGTGAATGGATTTGGCATGAGGGAGGAGTTGGATTTAGTTAGGGATGAAGGAGAGCAGGCAGTGCAGGATTTAGTGTTAGGGAGGAGTTGCATTTAGTTAGGGATGAAGGCAGTGTAGACTGAGAGCCTTGTTCTGTGGTGGTAATCTAATTGTATTGAAATATTATTTTGATTTG